GAGAGGTACACTACTCAAAAGTGCTGCTGCTTCATGCTTGCAGTTTGATTGCAGTGATCAACTTTTCGGGCTCTGGTATTAACTGGATAATTCGCCAGCTGACGCCGTATGGTGGCGCTAGTGGAGCAGCACCATATGACGTCAGCAGAAAACACCGTGAGCAGCTATGAAATGGGAGCGAGCACCACGGAAATATCGAAAGGTGATGGACATGTACTGACTTTGGTCATTCACGTACCACCAACACCATACAAAAACCATATAATATCATCAAGACTGATTCTAGAATCGATTCGTTCGGGTATTTTAAACACATAAAAAATGTTTGTTGCCCAATTCTGAAACAGTATAAGGATATTCTTGTTTCTTACTTTTACCTTGTGGAGTACTTTTACTTGCTTTCTAGTGTGCCCATTACTATCTTGAAATCTGGATTGCAGCGCTGTAGGAAAACTTTTTTTCATTTGTCATTTCTTCCACTTTTGAGCAGTGATAATTTATTTGGTTTTATACATTAAATAATGAAGACGGCTACTAACTTTTTAGGGATCTGCAGTGGCCCAGAGAGCAAAATCAGATATTTTCTAGAAACTTGAGGCCACTATTTTCTTATATGCTAGATAATATACTAATATTGACATGTAAAGAATGATACGGGTGTATAATTCTGCAGAAATATAAATTCAAAGCATTTAAATTTTTCAAGAACCTTTTTAAAATCTTCCATAATGACTTCTTTCAATACAAGGTGGAAGCAATTTCAGTTAACAATAAAGCAGCACAAGGCAGTACCTTGAGCTGCGATGATCCATAACCAATAGGCACCTGCAATTTGATTGATCTTCGAGATGTAACCTGCCTCTGTTCCCTGACTTTCCCTTTTCGTTGTACCGGGTGAAGTGAATATTCTGTGAATATTCTTCTGAGAGTCAGTTTTTAGTCCTAATTATGTTGTCAATCAGATTTAATTGGTTCAAAAACCGTCGTAGTCCGTCTCATTCGCAGTCTACATCTCCACATGCGCACCCATACATGCTCAAAATTTTCACTACGCATGTACTATGTACCCTGCAGCGTATCCTGATGAAAAATGTTTTGTTGAAATCAGAGACACTTCCCAAGGTAGGCCATAGTCCATGGCCATATATTTAAGTCAAAACAGATGAAACAGATAAACACAATTCCAATCATCAAGTCAACCAGCATCGACAATCTGCACATAAGTTCTAAACCTATTGATTTGCAAGACTACTTTGTATTCAAACTTTGTATTGCAGAAGGGTGGAAGCTGCATGGAATTATGCGACAATTTCAGCGTGCATCCACGCTCGAAAGAGCAGGGTTAATTGTAACAATGTCAATACCATAACAATAACGTAATTGTAGGTGTTGTGATTCGGTTGTCTCTTGTCTGTGCTGGCCATTGCGCGGGCGGTCCAGCGGCGGAACTCGGCTTCGCCGCCGTGGCGCGCTGGCAGTTGCTTCTTCTTCTTCTTCTTCTTCTGCATCCCACCGCCAACCCACTCAGGGGGGGGGGGGGGCGGCGGCGCAGGCGGGTCGAGCGGCGGCTCGGTCCGCCCAACATCCTCGATGAAGGTGACGACCTTCGTCGCCGGGCCGCCGAGGACGTCGACCAGGCGAGGGTCGACACCCCAGCGGCGGCGGCGGGCCGCCTCATAGGCCGGACAATCGGTCAGTAGGTGCGCCGCGCTGTCGGGCTCCCCGCACGCGGGGCATTCGTCGTCGGCTTCCGGGCTAATCTTGTGGAGCGTGTCACGGGTCAGCGGTGATGTGCCGGTCCTCAGCTGGGACAGCGTCACCGACCCCAGCGCGCCAGGGAGTCGTGGCCAGGCGTGGGGTCCGGGTGCGGGTGGGCAGCGGTTGCCCTCTGTCGCGACAGCTCCCGGACATGGCGCATGACGGCGGCCTGCGCACTCGACAGGTCGATCGGTGCGCTGTCTTGGTCGCCCGCCGTGGCCTCGCCAGCCAGGCGGTCGGCGGTTTCGTTGCCGTCCAGCCCGGCATGGCCTGGCACCCACTGGAGCACCGTCTCGGTGCCGTTCTCGGCGAGGGTGCTCAGCACTCAGCAGCCTCCACACCTCGGCGGCCAGGGCCATGGTCTGGTTAGCTGGGCCGCGGCCGAGTAGTTGGAGCCTAGACCTTGAGTCGGTGAGGAGGCGGACCGACTTGGTCGATGCCAACTCCCCGTCCTCCACGCCGGCCACAGCCGCGAACGCCTCGCGCATGGCGGTCAGTTCTGCTCTTAGGCTGGAGCAGACCGCCCCTGCAGGAGCGCGCACGGTCTCTTCTCTATTGAGGTGGTGGAACTGGATCAGCGCCTGCGCCGCCCTGTTCCGTCCGCCGCGAGCCGAGCCGCCCAACCAGATAGTGACGTCCGGGTGCGGGAGCTCTGCAATGGCTCGCAGGGCAGCTTCCCTGCGGACTGCAGGCGGGTCCGACCGGCGGGTGGCCATGGGCAGGTCCACCCTGAAGGTGATGCCGCCGCGGTGGCCCAGCCATGGCGGGTCGCAGCTGTAGAACGCCGAACCTGTAACACAATAGAATTGCAATTGTAACAAAGACCTGCATGGTCAGCACACATCTGCAGTGACTGTCATCCCAAGTTGGTATGAATTGGCACAAAGTTGGGTCATGGTAGCAGACGTAGCACAAGCTGTTGTGATATGCCATACCGTAGGACTAGGTCGTAGGTTGTAAATTTTAGGTTTAAGGCTGTAGGTTGTAGGTCAGGTTAGGTAAGGTTTGGTTAGAAAGACCCATTCTCGTGCATCCGGCAGCTTGTGCTACATCTACCTTACTTACCAATACCCAATTTGAACTCCCAAAATTGATGGCAAACAGGCTTTTTGTATAACAAGTGTGGTTAATTGTTCTAATCCCCGCTGCAATGTGAGGGTAACTGCTTTTCTACAACCACAATATTTGAATTCATATAGATAGGTGTTTTCATGTTCAGAAAATGATACAAAATATGACACAATTATAGCTCTGCAACTGGATAGTGGATACCAACCTCAACTAAAAGTTTCTGCAGCCTTATAACCTAACAAATGACTAAATTACCAAAATAAATCCCTTAGTACAATAGCTTGACTCTAAAATAACAGAAATTTTGCATGCAGACCCTGAAATGGAGGGTTTATGAAAAGTAATAAAAATAAACATTCACTAATATCAATATGTTGTTATAAATTTCATATGTAGCATAAGCGCCAATACTGCCTTCATTTACAATGTTGCTACTGTTTTCCACTCACAAACGCTGCCCTCCGTGGACAGCAGCAGCAGCAGTGAAACGTCACCCGTGGTGTGACATCATCGCCCATGACGTAATGGAAATCCAGTTGTTACCAAGGCCCAACTTTTCAAGACTTTGGTATACACAACATGGCGGAAATCGTTAGACATTCTGGCCCATATACGGCCAAGGCGAGTGCCTCCCCCTGGGTGTAGCAAGCGATTGTCCAAAGTTGTCCAAAGCCTGCTGTCATTTATCGGGGTTACATGAGCACAGTAAATACGTATTTAGCCGCTAATTCGAATTAGGAACGCATTACCGACTCATGTAGCCACCTGCTAGTACGAATCGGCGATCCGATCCGCGGTTACATGAGCAAAGCAAATACGTATCACGATCGGATTCACCGCTAATGCGAATCAGGAGCGTACTACCGACTCATGTATCCACCTGCTAATACGAATCGGCGGTCCGAACAAAATCCGCTGGGAAAGAGGCTTAGAAGCGAATAGGACCAAGATACGTATTACAGGAACTATTTCTTCGCAAAAAGAAACATTAAAATGCAAAATAATAGGTATTTTTTCATTTTCTTCCTTTGAAATAATATTTAAAAAAATATGTCGGTATTTTGTTAAGTTTTCAACAATAAATATAGTGAAAACCAAATAGTAAATATCCACATAATTTCAGTTGAAACATTTTTCTGACAGCACTACAGACGAATCAAGAGAGGCAATGGCCCAATGAGTCAAAGCAAGACAACTTTATGTTCAACTTTTTTTTGTTAAGTTAATTGAGAATGTTTTGAGCAGATTAAATGCAAAAAAGACATAAGATAATAAATTTTTAATTTAGTCACCTCTATTGCTACGGAAGTGCGCCACATTTGTATGCTATTCCGTTTGTAATGCGCATCGGGCCGAGAGCCAAACTAGATCCGTTTGACGTCACTGATACGAATTTGCTCATGTAGTCGGTGCACTGAATGCGTTCTTGGGGAGCTGATTCGAATTAGCGTAGTGCGTATTTGGAACGGATCGCTCATGTAACCGAAACGTCCGAGGCACCGTCCGAGGCACACGATTCGGGCCGTATTTCACAAGAACTATTCTTTGCTGACTGGAAGCGTCAAAATGCAAAATACTAAGCATTTTTTTATTGGCTGCCTCGTAGAAAATAGCAAAAAAAATGTTGGTATTTTGGTTTAGTCTTTGCATGTGAAATAAAATGAATGAAATATTTTGATAGATAATTTTTTCTGACCACCCTGCTGTCGCTGCATGGCGAATCAGTGCCCACTGACTTAAAACAAGAAAACTTTGTTTTCATTTTTTGATTTCATGTTAGTTTTAAATGTTTTGAGCCTATCAAATGATACAAGTATTTAAAATTTAGCTCAGTCGTCCCGGTAAATGCCGCAACTGCGCCATGACTGTACGCTAATCCTATTCCGTTTGTGATGCGAATTACCGGCCGTCGAGGAGTCAGCCCGGGTGAGCCAAACAAGATCCGTTTGACGTAGATAAAACGAATTAGTCTCATGTAACCGGTGCCGTAGATCCGTTTGTGGGGAGCTGATGCGCATTAGCGTAGTGCGTATTTGGAACGGATCGCTCATGTAACCCCGGTAATTGTCCAACCGAATTCCGAATTGGACATTGGACACAATCGGAATTCCGAAAATTCAAGTTCCGATTGACACCACTACACCCTACCCTACCTACTATTATTATATGGTAGTCAACAGCACTGTTGGTAGACAGAAAGACGCGTTAGAGACGTTTATTCTGTTCACTTTATAACGTCTTCGGGAAATACGCTGAAAAGCATGCTGTTGATTTGTGTAAAGTAAGCAAAGGCTCGCGCTTGCGATCACAAACTCCTGTAATGAACACTATCACTGCTTATCAATTGTTTATGTGAGCCAGCGGTCAGAAGCTGAAGCTGTTTTGATCGATGATGTGGTTTTGCAATCTTGATTGCAATTTGCAATTTGTAGCTGAGGGAGGGAATGGGCATAACTCAAAAGTCATAAGGCAACTGAATATTGAATAGGCGATTGCATTCTCTTTCATTCCATGCCTTATACTTGACTACTCTCTGCAGCTGCGACATAAAATCAAGGTAATGACCAGTGTATATAAATAATGACGTTTGAAGTCTAGCGACGTTTGAGGAGAGCGTAGGTTTGTAGGTTGTGTCCACTCGGACCTAATATATACTAATACCCAGATGATGAGGCGGTATGGGTGGTCATGCATTACAGCGCTTTGCGGAGTCTGACCTGACCGCAGTGCGACGAAGTTACGGTACCGTAAAATGGGGTGTTAAGGGACCGTGGGGTGTTAAGGGACAGTTGCATGGGAAAAACTTTGAGTCATATTAACTTCCTAATTTGAGAAAGTTCAATAAAAATTTCAGTGTGGTAGTTGACACTATTTTGCTCTTGACCATAGGACAAAATGGTATGGTTTTTCATGCAAGTGATTTGGCTCAAAAATGGATTTGAAAATCATGCTACATTTTCACAAAATTGAAACATCCCAAAACTCTGTGTGTGCCACGTAAACTAGTGGGTGTACAGGGAAAATGAATGCATAGGTGTATTGTCACATGTAGGTATTGCACATGTTTCCTGAAAAACTTGTGCAAATCCACCCATTCATTCATCATCCTCTTCCTCTTTTCCGGATACATGCATATTTTGAGGTGGATGTGGGGTGCTAAGGGACAGCGAAGAAAAAATAAGAAATAAAATATAAATATAATTTCATTAAGTTTTCTTTCAGTAGGCATGGAAAACACCAAATTCCACATAAAATGCAGGCAAGTTCATGCTTTTATCTCTAACACATCTTAAGTTATGTAACAAAACATCTCAACACTCTCTTTTATAATGATGGGTCAATGGAGACTGTTGTAGGTAAATGTGATGTCATCATAAAAATGCTAAAACAAAGAGGGCAACATAATGACCAACAACAAGTGACCAGCTTTAACATGTTTTTTATGACAGAAGATTACTTTTTGGTTCTGTTTACCTTATAACATGGATTAGGGATTAGGTATTCCTGGATCGGACACTCCGCCGATTTTCCGACCACCCGGCGGCGGCGGCGGATTTCCCGACGGCGAGGGCGCTGGCGTCATTTTAGCATTGCGGGCTATGGGCGGAGCGTGTCTTTTTGTATACTTTTGTCGTTTATTACTTACCTATAACCGATTTTGATGAAAATTTTTGTGAACCAGGTAGAACAGGTATTGAGGAATGTCATGGAAATATTCTTTTCCCAGTTTTGATTTAAGAAGTTGCTTAAATTCTGCTGACAAGTGAGGGTTCGTGATTACAGCCGAAGAGCCAATGTTGGAATAAAGTTAAGTTTTATGCGATAACATGAAAATAAGTTAATATTTGTATTAAATCATCAATAGGAACTTGTTCGACTGCCGAGGAACGATGATATTTGATGATAAATTGCATCGGCAAGTCAAGAATACCGGCTTAGTTTATGGGCATCAGGTAATGATTCCGTATGTGATAGTGACTAAATGGAGCCATAATAATGATAAGAAAGGACTAGAAATTATGTTTGAAGTGTCTGAAATTGTGTCTTATGAGCTAAAGTTCGCTAATTTCGCCCTCCATTACCGCGTTTTTAGCACGCAAGCCGGTGCGGCGGCCGCCGGCGCACTCGCCGCCGATGTTTCGGAGCTCCGCCACCAGGGCGGCCGCTTGGTCGCCGGCGCTAGTGTTGGGGAATAGGGAGTGTCCTATCCAGGTATACTTCATCCATGCTTATAATTAGCACATTTTCCACAAGCGTAAACTGCATTACACGTAATTGGCTAAAAAGGTCATTAGTGGTGAATGAACCTGACTTGTTTTGTGACAGAATATGCAAAACATTTCAATAAATAAATTGTGTGCCCTTCCACACCCCAATTGTGGGCATTTGATGACCATTTCTTGGAATAATGTAGGTGTCCCTTAACACCCCACATTGGGGTGATAAGGGACAGTGATGAAAAATAATAAAAAATAATATGCAGGTATAAATCTTAAAAACTTTAATGTGGCAGGCATGTAAAGCACCAAATTCCACATAAAATACTGATAATTTGATGCTTCTATCTCCAACTCTTCTTAAGTTATATAACAAAACACCTCAAAACTGTCCCTTAACACCCCGTTTTACGGTAGCCATTTTAAAAGGAGGAAGGATATTCCATCAAAAATGTCTTTCAAACGGTGGTAGAAGGGTTCCAGAAGACTGGAAACACGAGACCTGCCCGCCTCCTGGCCGGACGGCAAAAAGTCAGACGGAAAGGTGGCATAGTGGAGAACCCATGAAAAGTGCTGAACTGAAAGTTATATGTTCATCAGTCCTACTTTTCTGCTGTCTCATGTGGTAATACTCATGAGCCATATGTAATACATGCCACTGAAACATCATCGTTTGAAAAGCAACATTCATTGTGAAGGACCCTGAAGCTTAACAGTGAATTGACCCGTTTTGATGGTGTGGACATTGCACGTACAATTAAGAATGCAGTTGATGATTCGTCATAGTTTTTGTAAGGATAAGAAACCCCAAAGATTTTGCAACGAAATGAATAAAGAATTCATGGGCATGCGAATAGTTGAGATCCTTTTAAAAGCTTATCAAATGTAACGTTTATTGTGAAACACCCTGTTTGTAGGTTTGTAGGTTTGTAGGCTGTAGGTTAGGTTAGGTCAGGTTAAGTTAGGCTAGGTTTGTTAAAGGGAACCTCCCACCTTCAAAAAAGTTAATGAATTGGCATGAAAATGATGCCGCTTGGTTCAGAAAGAGCAAAAACGAATATCTACCAAATTTAACCGAAAAATATTCACCAGTCTTCAAGATATTAGACTTTTACTTTTGTTTACTTTTTGGGATCTCCGCTGTTTCTAGCGACTTTATTTGAAAGTGCTGCACTTAGGTAATGCGCGCAAAGATGTAACGGAAGTTGGCACAGATTCAGCACAGATTCAGCACAGCACAGATTCGGTAGGGGGAAAAAAGGCCCCGGTAGAGGGAAACCTTTATGACCCGTTTTCCCCTAGAAATGACGTCACAAAGAGGTAAAAATGGGTATCAATCGAAAGCTCTCGTTTACCCAGACACAGTCCTGCAGGAAAATTCCACTTTTTCCCCATAGGAAAGTTTTTACGGGAAAATCAAAATTTTGGGTCAATGGGGGGTCCCCCCCGATTTCGTTCAAAATCGGCACACAGGTGCCCCACCACCAGCCGAGAAACTTTCCCCAAAACGGTCCCCGTTGCATTGACGTTTAAGGCCCTTAAAGCCCCGTAAACTCGTAAAAAATCCGTAAATTCGCCCTTGTACGGCCAAAAACGGGGCGCTAGGGTAAAAATGGGTATCAATCGAAAGCTCTCGTTTACCCAGACACAGTCCTGCAGGAAAATTCCACTTTTTCCCCATAGGAAAGTTTTTACGGGAAAATCAAAATTTCGGGTCAATGGGGGGTCCCCCCCGATTTCGTTCAAAATCGGCACACAGGTGCCCCACCACCAGCCGAGAAACTTTCCCCAAAACGGTCCCCGTTGCATTGACGTTTAAGGCCCTTAAAGCCCCGTAAACTCGTAAAAAATCCGTAAATTCGCCCTTGTACGGCCAAAAACGGGGCGCTAAAGTAAAAATGGGTATCAATCGAAAGCTCTCGTTTACCCAGACACAGTCCTGCAGGAAAATTCCACTTTTTTCCCATAGGAAAGTTTTTACGGGAAAATCAAAATTTTGGGTCAATGGGGGGTCCCCCCCGATTTCGTTCAAAATCGGCACACAGGTGCCCCACCACCAGCCGAGAAACTTTCCCCAAAACGGTCCCCGTTGCATTGACGTTTAAGGCCCTTAAGGGTGCGTTAACTTCGGAGGTGGCTCCGCTCAGCGTTGGTGTCCGAGCACTACTACTCCGATTCTCAGCCAGTAGATGTCACCAGGGTAGAGCGCTTTTTTTCCCACGTTAATGGCCTTCTCCCCCTCCTCATTTCACGGCCCTTACGATAACGACGTTTGGTTACTGCGCCGGCGCGGCGGGCGGCGCCGACTGAGGGAGATCATGGTGTGTAAACACCGCGCGGCCGGAACACGTCTCTCGACGAGCCTTCCCGGCGCCGTCCTTAGCCTGGTGTAGGTACTTACTTACCCAGTTAGAACGAAACTGATTAATTGATATAGATACATGTTATCGAATATTGAGTCTGTCGCAGCTCTAGTCACAAGAATGCGTCTGATATTCTCACATGATTGACCTGACGGCATTGTTATAGTGAAATGCAGTGCTAGATTCGCATTGCTACACAGTACACATACTATATATGGCCTTGATACTACCAGTAAAACGCCTTATAGGGCGATAAACGGAGCGAACGAGAGGATCGGCCGTGTAAGTGGGAAAGTGTGAGGGGTACCTCCAACTGACTAGTGCACGGCACCCTACTAACCGCTCTCTAGTAATGTGCCATATTTGAGCACAATCGTCCCAGCCGTTCTCGAGATCTGGAAGCGGCACCCTACACGTGCGCACGTGCAAAATGGGTCCCAACTGACTTTTGCACGGCACGCTACTAACGGATCCCTAACCGGTAACCAAATTTGAGCGCAATCGGTCCAGCCGTTCTCGAGATCTGGAGTCGACCCCTGCACGTGCACACGTGCAGGAGCACCCCAACTGTGGGACATGAAAATGCATTGCCTAGGCCCTAGTGGGTGCCTACCTACATGTAAAGTTTCAGCGCAATCGGCCCAGTAACTACCGTGATATTGCAATTGTTACAAAAATGACACCTCTTCGTTTTGCACGTGGCACGTGCCAAGCTACCCTACAAAAATTACCGCAAGTAAATCGGCCCATGGCGGTTGCTGAGTTATAAGCCTTTCAAAAGCGTTACAGGCCGGGCCGAGTCGGGCCGGGCCGCTCTTACTGAGATTTATTACGGAGCGAGCGAAGCGAGCGGAGTCTAAGGTCGCCGTCCACTGCACTTTTTTACGTGCACCTCTTCGTGCACGTGCACGAAGAGGTGCACGTAGAATAACGGAAATTTCTGAGTATGAGCGGCCGGCCGACCGGCCGGCCGTGGT